ATATATATATATATATATATATATATATATATATATATATATATATAATTATAAGAGCCCTTTTTAGCCCTTCCGTGTACCTGCCAGGTGAGTGTGAGCCAATGGCAGCCCTGCAGAGCAGCATGGAGCCTGAATCTCTGCAGTTCAAGGACATTTGTCTCAATTCCTCCAAAACCTTCATCAGGCGACAAGTCCACGAGGTCTGGGGTGAGTCTCAGGTTTAGTCTTTGGTTCTCACGAAGGTGGAGTGTTCCCTCCGAGTCCAGGTCATTGTATTAAAGCAGATGAATTAAAGTATTCATCAGTTATCATAGGTATCTTTAAAAATTTGTATGGCAGGAATGTTGAATATTTCATTTCTTTAATATCTTTAGAGTTTTCTTTTTACGACAAGTATAATAATACTTAAACATTAATTCTGTTGTGGGTGTATTTTGCATAAAGCTGCAACATTATGTTGAGACTAGTAAAATAGCAGGCAGCACGGTTGCGCAACTCTCAAAGAGAAGGTTGCCGGTTCAAGTCCCGGTCCGTGGGCCTTTCTGGGTGGAGTTTGCATGTTCTCTCCGTGCATATGTGGGTTTTCTCCAATTACTCCGGTTTCCTCCCACAGACCAAAAACATGCATGTTAGGCTGATTGGTAACTCTAAATTGCCCCTAGGTGTGAGTGAGAGAGTGAATGGTTGTTTGTCTCGTTTGTCTCTATGTGTCCCTGTGATGGACTTGCGACCTGTCCAGGGTGTACCCCGCCCCTCGCACAGTGATTGCTGGACATGGGCACCAGCGACCCCCGTGACCCAAAATGGAAGAACCGGGTAAAAGATAGTGGATGGATAATAAAATAGCTTCAATGAACGCTTTGTTTTATTTTGAAATAAACAGCATCAACATCCGGTTTCCGCTCGGCTAGCTGCGGCTAGCTTGAAGTGGTGGGTGTTGACATGTCAGCTGATTGCGGCATGCAAAGCCTCTTGTTTAGTTAGCTTAGCTTAGTCGGATGTTTGTTTTTGTCATGAGCTAGGCGGCCTTTAAACGAACCGCACGGTTTTAACGCATATTCAAGGTTTTAGCGCACTTCCGGTCTCCGTCAGTCGCCTGCCGTGTTGTTGTTGTTGTGCTCTTGTCGGTGAAGCTGCAGTTTTTATTTAGATTTTGTTTTTGTCAGAGAGAGCAGGAAGAGTCTGCTGCATTGCAGCCCGCCGCTGATGGAATTCAAACACACATCGATGGCGACTCCAGGTCCAAACGGCTCGTCGGCACCGAGCGGTACCGCGGGACCGGCCGCCCATCATTACCAGCAGCAGCACGTCACGACCATGAGCAGCCTGCAGGGTGAGTCCGGCTGAAGGTGAACGTTAGCACCGCTAGCCGGCCAGGCCACTCCCAGGGAGCTCCCATCTTCATTTAGCATCAATTTAAAAAGAATCGGTGGCGATTTTTATAAACATGTCTCGTTTTGAAGTTTTTACACATTCATAAATCCATGGTTTGAAACCATCTGCTGGTATTTTAAGGGCTCAAACATTTTATCTCTCTATGAAATTTGTTGAATTGGACTGCACTGGGTTGAAATGAACTGGGCTCTGGATCCTAATGTGACTTTACTGGATTATAACCAGACTGAAATTTATTAAATTGGACTGTGATTAGACAAATATTTGATTCTATGTTGACTGAATTTGAATTAATTTTTCAGTATGTTTAACAGAAATGAATGGGAATCACACACATTAAATTGGACCCAAGTTTAAGTCTGTGTAGGTCTGAACTGGATCAATGGATTAAAATGTGCAGAGCTGCACTGAAACAGCTTGGACTGTTGGTGAATACATTTTAGTTTTACTTTGTCTAATTAGATTATGAATAATCTGACTTGGAGTTAATAAACTGGAGGAACTGAACAACTTTCAGTCACAAAGTTGTGTTTGTCCACATCTGCATGCAGCTGTAGATCCACTCCTGGTTGATCGGGTCGGATCTCTCCGGGAGAAGTCAGATCTGAAGCCGTTTGTTGACGACACAAATGGAAAATAAACTGTTTTTGTTTTTCTCTTTTTCTGTGCAAACTTCATCTTATTCTAACTTTCAGAATCCAACACCTGCTGGAGATGTCAGAGTGAAACAGGTACACACACGCACACACACCTACTGTTTTTGACATGTGAGTTAAAAATAAAACTATAAAAAATATATTTTCCTTCTAGGATGAAATGTATTTTTATGTTCAGATTTCTTTTAAGCTCCCAGGTTAGCTATACATCATACAACCAAATACTTACTGGTACTTACAGGGTACATACTGGGTACTTACAGGGTACATACTGGGTATTTACAGGGTACATACCTGGTACTTACAGGGTACATACCTCGTACTTACAGGGTACATACTGGGTATTTACAGGGTACATACCTCGTACTTACAGGGTACATACTGGGTATTTACAGGGTACATACCTGGTACTTGCAGGGTACATGCCTGATATTTGCAGGGTACATTCCTGGTACTTAGAGGGTTCATTCCTGGTACTTACAGGGTACATACTGGGTACTTACAGGGTACATACCTGGTACTTATAGGGTACGTGCTGGGCATTTACAGGGTACATACCTGGTACTTGCAGGGTACATGCCTGGTACTTGCAGGGTACATGCTGGGCATTTACAGGGTACATACCTGGTACTTGCAGGGTACATACATAATACTTACAGGGTTCATACCTAATACTTACAGGGTTCATACCTAATACTTACAGGGTTCATACCTAGTACTTACTGGGTTTATACCTGGTACTTACATGGTATATACCTGGTACTTGCAGGGTACATTCCTGGTACTTGCAGGGTACATGCCTGGTACTTGTAGGGTACATGCCTGTTACTTGTAGGGTACATACATACCTGGTACTTACATGGTACATACCTGGTACTTACATGGTACATACCTAGTACTTACATAGTACGTGCCTGGTGCTTGCAGGGTACATGCCTGGTTCTTGCAGGGTACGTTCCTGGTACTTGCAGGGTACATGCCTGGTACTTACAGGGTACATGTCTGTTACTTGCAGGGTACATGCCTGGTTCTTGCAGGGTACATGCCTGGTACTTGCAGGGTACATGCTTGGTACTTGCAGGGTACATGCCTGGTACTTGTAGGGTACATGCCTGGTACTTGCAGGGTACATACATGCCTGGTACTTGCAGGGTACATACATGCCTGGTACTTGCAGGGTACATGCCTGGTACTTGCAGGGTACATACCTGGTACTTGCAGGGTACATGCCTTGTACTTGTAGGGTACATACCTGGCACTTGCAGGGTACATACATACCTGCTACTTGCAGGGTACATACCTGGTACTTGCAGGGTACATACATACCTGGTACTTGCAGGGTACATATATACCTGGTACTTTCAGGGTACATATATACCTGGTACTTGCAGCTGGCTGTATGATGTATTTCACTCCTAGTTTTAAAGTCTTGACAGCTGATGAATATTGTTTTTAGTAAAGTTTATTTTTAGTGAAGTTTATTTTTAGTGAAGTTTATTTTTAGTGAAGTTTATTTTTAGTAAAGTTTATTTTTAGTAAAGTTTATTTTTAGTAAAGTTTATTTTTAGTAAAGTTGCTGCTATACGGTCGAGCTGCAGTTTGTTTCACATCAGTGACGTCTTCCAGCACCGTCACTTTAGCCGGCTCTTCTAAAATGTTGTACATGATTTCCTTCACTTTCCTCTGACTGTGTTTAATGTTTTGCTTCAATGCTGCTACTGACTGAATCCTGCCTGCTGCCGTGATGCTGCTCGACGGTGAGCTGTCCCAGAACAGAACACCGTCTCACGGTCGTCCTCCGTTTGTTTTTCTTCCACCCTCGCGTCATTTGAACTTTTCATTTCCTGCCATTTTATTTTATTTACGTGTTTGTAGCCGCCTGTTGGATGTTAGCCTCCATGAAATGCATTAAATCTGCAACACAGACGCTTCTGTAATTTAACGTTTGGAGTGTGTTGACGAACAGTCGGTTCAAATCTCTAAAGTCAAACCAACAAATCAGTTTTTATTTTATTATTATTATTTTTAGAATGATGAAAATAAAAACTGTCTTTTCACCTCCAGGGTTTCAGATAAACCTGTCTGGAGCTCCCCCAAGTAAGCCAACCCTTTCTTGCTTCAGCACCAACAGTTCTCAAGCCTTCTCTTTCCTCCTGACAGACTGGTACTGGGGAGTCTCTCCTGCTGGTCTCTACTAATCCCAGTCCAAACACCTCACTGGTTCATTCTGAGGCTTGGGCCCAATGCACTGAGGGTCCCCGAGAGTCCCTGAGGGTCCATGAATCAAACTGTTCGTAGCACATTTATCAGATCAGTTCTTGAAACAACAGATCTCCCCCCTCGGTGCGTCTCAGTGGGACTGGGGAGTTCCATTAACTGGATGAAACCCAGTTTGGGAGCAGGAACAATCAGCAGTGCCCATTTGTTTTTTAATTGTTTTAGGGTGATGGGAACATTTTAGCTGGTGTGTGTGTGTGTGTGTGTGTGGGGGGGGGGGTTGTCTGTTTCTGCCCGTCTGTGTTCGTTTGTTTCACAGACACCGAGCGGTCACATCACAGATGAGTCATCTTCATCGTCCATTGTTGCGTCGTAAGGCGACACATAGATGTGTGTGTGTTTGATATGATGACCACACACACACACACACACCATCACACACACACACACACACACACACACACACACACACACTGAGGCAGCAGCAGACCCAGCCAGGGCCGAGGTGGGATCAGTGGCGCTCGTGCTCATGCGCGGTTCGTTCACGGCGTCTCTGCTCTGAGAGGGGCGGAGCCACAGCCTCAGTTGGGACACGCTTGCACCCGGGCTCACCGTGCATCAGAGGGTGCGTCAGTATCTAACACGCAGCAGAACAACAGCGTACCGTTCGTACGTCTGTGACAAAGTTGAGAACCGAATCTCTCCGTCGCCTCAGTTAACTTTTAACGTTCTGTCGTCAAACAAACAACTCCACCAGCAGAACTGTAAACATTTACACGTTTATGAGATTTATAACGAATGATCACAAACCGATGCTTCTTGTTTTGTCACAGTTTGTTTTTCTTCGGCTGTTTTTTGTTCTTTCAACGTGATTTACTGAAACCACGCATCAGAAGTTCTGCACTGTCACTTTAAAACGTCTTTCGTTCGTCTCTTAACTGTGAACGTGCACATGAACTGGGAAGAATCCAGAAATTAAACGGGTCGTTTTTCATCAGAAATAATCTTCAGTGAGTTAATCTAATAATTTTTCATGTCGTATAAGCTGACGACAGAAAACTCTGAAATCAACGTTTTACACATTTTGGTCCTTCATAGGTTTTAATTATTTTGAGCAGCTTCAGTTTTTTTATTTGCAGCTCTCTGGGTGAATATTTGTCTAAAATTTTATCCCAAAAATAAAATCAGATTTTTGCATTTCTTGCATTTCTTAAATAGTTTTAGTTTGTTTGGACACGCCCCCTCATGTCTTCAGCCCCTCTGTTGTCTCGTTTCCTGGTTTCTGTTGTTTTCACACATTTAACGTTCTGACCTTTCACCCCCGTGAGTTTGTTTCTGCTCCGTCCTCCATGTCTCTGCATCACTAAAAGCCTGATGGACGTTTCTCCTCCTTCACTCAGGCAAACGTAAAGCCCTGAAGCTGAACTTCGCCAACCCCTCCATCAAACCCTCGACCAGATTCTCTCTGAACACGGCCGGGCCTCCGTTTCAGAACCCGCACATGTGAGTCTGTTCTCTTCACACGCAGCCGTTCAGGTTTTAGTCTTTAATCTCTTTGTTTTCGTCAGAGAGCGGCTGAGAACGCACAGCATTGAGTCGTCAGGGAAGCTAAAGATCTCCCCGGAGCAGCACTGGGACTTCACGGCCGAGGATCTCAAAGATCTGGGCGAGATCGGCCGAGGGGCGTACGGCTCGGTCAACAAGATGGTGCACAAGCCGAGCAACACCATCATGGCCGTCAAGGTGACCCGTCTCCTCCAGAGCTCGAAGAGGACAAAAGACAAAACCTGAAACCTTTTTGTTTTTGTCCTCCAGCGGATCCGGTCGACCGTGGACGAGAAGGAGCAGAAGCAGCTTCTGATGGACCTGGACGTGGTCATGAGAAGCAGCGACTGTCCGTACATCGTCCAGTTCTACGGTGCGCTCTTCAGAGAGGTGAGAACCTGTTGGTTGTTCCAGAACCACAAAGCTAAAGAAAAATCACCCGAAGCTAAAGAAAAAACACCTGAAGCTAAAGAAAAAACACCCGAAGCTAAAGAAAAAACACCTGAAGTTAAAGAAAAAACACCTGAAGTTAAAGAAAAATCACCTGAAGCTAAAGAAAAATCACCCGAAGCTAAAGAAAAAAACGCCTAAAGCTAAAGAAAAAAACGCCTAAAGCTAAAGAAAAAAACGCCTAAAGCTAAAGAAAAAACACATGAAGCTAAAGAAAAAACACATGAAGCTAAAGAAAAATCACGTGAAGCTAAAGAAAAAACACCTGAAGCTAAAGAAAAAACACATGAAGCTAAAGAAAAAACAC